ATTCAGTAAGGGAACTCAGGAAGAAACATTCAGCTTCCTCCATGCTTCCAATCAGTCACTGCCGGCAAGAAAATAACCAGCAGTACAAAAAGGAGGCTGAAAAATAAAACGGTGAGAGATTAAATAAATAAATGACATTGTAATGATTAAATATGCTTCCTTTAAAGAAAAGGCTGGAACAGTTTCATTACAGTATGGAAAATCATACATGTAAGAAGTTCTTCAGTCTCTGCTTCTCCTATGCTTAAACCAGAATTTTACGCTAAGAAAAGTGCCTTTGAGGGAAGAGAGGGTCAACTGATAAACACAAGAAAATTAGGATTTCAGAATTTTTCAGATCCACATTTATTTAAAAAGCTCACAAGAAAATGGCAGACAATTTCAAAACAATAGAGAGAGAGCATATGGGTGTGTGAAACAGTATCTTATTTTGAAATGTCAGATCATCAATTTGCACATTAATCAAGTGTCAGAATGCAGATGGTAAAACTCTCCAAGAAAATTGAGAGGTTGCACAAATTGGACCAGTGATTTATTAGCTGTCAGCTTTCCCAGAGCAGGTAGACAGTGTTGCATTATGAAAAGCACAAGAGTTAAAACAGTAACACAATTCTAAAGAAGAGAAGCAAAATGGGGAAGACAGTTTCTTTGGCATCAGTTTATGTTGTTAATAAACAGCCCACTTATATTCTACTATCTGACAAAATCTTTACAAAGGCCTGATAATATTTTCATACAGTGCTGCACTGTTTCTTTTCAAAGTTTATACTATTATTAATAAACAAGTGTCGAGTTTGTAAATAACCAATTTTTAATATTTTCTTTGCTAAAAAAATTGAAACAAAACAAGCTTTTTCAAAAATCTCTGCCGAAGCCTAAATTTACTTTATGATAGTGGTAGCATAACACTTAGGATAATAAATCAGAACATTGCTTCCTACACGTTGTTAAACTTTGCTGTTCTGACTGCATGGTTCACATTTTAACACTGCCTGTCCTTGTGGGTCCATTCCAACTCAGCTTATTCTGTGATTCTGTCTTGAGCTGTCAGAGGACTCATGCAGAAGTGTGTAGTAAATCCGTATCACATAAACTTAAAAGTAAAAATAAACTGCTTTAATTTTTTAATATATAAAAAAACCAGGATACATCACAATTCTTCCCATCTTACATTTTTGTTACACCCTTCGGTGTTTCTCATTACACTAAAAAAACCAACACCCTTGTATAAAAACTTCTAATGAATTTTTGTGCAACTTAGCTGTTACCCTCTTATGGATATGTGTTAACCATTTTAGGCACTGGCTTTATCTCAATATCTGGAATCAAATCAAGAACAATTCAACCTCAAAGACAAAAAAGTTTTGGAAATTGGTGCTGGAACAGGCTTGCTTTCCATTGTGGCCTGTATCTTAGGTTGGTAAATTTGTATTTCCTTTTGGATTTTAGTGAATGATGATCTAGCTCTGCCATTGTCACTTTAAGGCAATGAAACAACAGTTGAAGTAAACTTTGTCACTTTTTTTTGTGTTGTTGTTTTTTTGGGTTTCGTTAAATGAAAACTATTGTAAAATACCATTTTGTTAACTAAACTACCCTAGTTATTGGGGAAGGGGAGGTTGGACCAGTTATATAGATAAAGCTTCATACATGTTCAACTACATACCTATGAATTTTGCCCTGTCTCAAGTGAAAGGATGAGAGGAAAAAGCCCTAAATTGTGTCAGGGGTGTTCAGATTTGGTATTAGAAAAAAAAGTTTATTTTACAGAAAGGGTGGATTGGCACCCTTGCAATAAGTTGACCAGGGAGGTGGTGGAGTCACTGTCTCTGGAAGCATCCAAGAGGCATTGGGATGTGGGACATGGGGATCTGGTTTAGGAGTGATTATGGGTTCATGGCTGGACAGGTCTCTTCCAACCTTAGTGATTCTGTGAATTGAAACAAACTCCCATTTTCTTTAGGAGCTCATGTTACAGCTACTGATTTGCCTGAAGTTCTTGAAAATCTTTCATATAATATTTCAAGAAATACACAGAACCTGAATATGCACAAACCTGAAGTGAGAAAACTGATATGGGGAGAAGGCCTCAATGAAGACTTTCCTGTATCAACTTACCATTATGATTTCATACTGGCAACTGATGTTGTGTACCATCATGGAGCTCTGGACCCCCTGCTAGCAACAATGGTGTACTTTTGTAAGCCAGGAACAGTATTACTATGGGCAAATAAATTCAGATTCAGTACAGACTACGAGTTTTTGGAAAAAGTTTGCAATATATTTAACACAACCATTCTAGCAGAATTTCCAGAATCAAATGTCAAGCTGCTTAAAGCCACGGTTAGAAAGAATTAAAGCAAAAACCATTCCTGATCTTGATTTAGTGGCAGCACCTCACAGATTGGAATGCTTTCCAAGATTATGTTGCACCTTCTGTGGATTTATGGTTGTAAAGATGCAGTTGCATCTAAGTTTTGCATTGCAAGTACAAAAAAAAAAAAAAAATCCAGCAAGGCAAAAGATACAGCAGTTTGTCTCTGGCTGATACATATGACCTGTTCAAACTGACCAACTCCCCTCCACTGAAGGAACAATGTTAGTAAGAAGGCTTTAACAAAAAGCATTGATCTTCTGGGCTGCACTGACCCTCTGCTGTTTGTAAGCTGCTTTCTTTCAGCAAGTTTTATTTAGGTACTCATCCAGAAACCAGTACAATTTTTAGCTTCAGTATTTTTATTCATTATAAAAATCTTTTAAAGTATCAGAGTGAACATGGTGGTTTTTTGATCTTCAACTTTGCACATTTATTCTGCTGTGTTTTATATTTTTAACATTAATAAACATCTATGTATAGCTTTACAATATTTGATCGATCAAGATGTAACTGTCTGGCACTTTTATACATGTATCAGCCTGTCATCATAGTCAGCTTCACCAGGATTTCTGAGTTTGCCTGAAATCACTCCAAAATAAAGAGTTCTGAAAATTTACAAGAGTACTTATGCATCAGCAATTCTGAGAAACATTGCAACAGTTTGAGAGGTTGAATTTTTCTTAAAAACATTAAATGTAAACTCTTGCAAACAATACAGGTGTCCATTATTTTCATCTAATAAGTAAGATTTTAGCTACTCTTGAAGTAGCTTTAAGGCCTTCATACAATTGAAATTAAGATCAAACATGTTAAAATTCAGTGTACCATAAAAAATACAGAACTTTTACCAGTTTGCAGTTAAAAGTAACAATTCAGAACATAACATGCATGCAGCAATTCTTTCCAAACTAATTCCAAATCCTTGATGTTGGCAGTTCTGGCACATCCATTGCCAGCAATGGGATGCACAATAAGGAAACTCCCTGATGACAGGAGTTAGGTTAACAGGTATTAAGCCATACCCAGGTGCCTTTACTGATAAATACACACAATTTAATAATCAGCATTCAGTAATGAAAACATGCGTTCGAATAAAAAGTCAAACTTCTCTTTTCCTATCCTGTCCCATATAAAATCATTGTAATTTTACAGTTGCTGATTCTCTAGAATACACAATAATCAGGTGGATACATCACAGGAAGCCAATTTGCAGTGAAAGTTGCACAATGAGTCCATCCAAGCAACTTCATTAGCTGAAGAAAAAAAAACATGCATTAAAAAAAATTAGTCTTAATCTTTTTAATATCTGAATCTAAACAAACACTGCACAGATATCGACATTTTACTAAAAATTTCTATTACCAGAAAGACAACAGATTGAAGATCTGGTAAGCTTTGAATTCCTCAGTCCTGAAAGGGGGGACCCCTCCTCCCCATTCTATACAATCCACATTCTTTCAATGTAATGTACAAGAGTTAAATCTTAGGAATTCCCATTAATTCTTTGTTAAATTCTATGAGCAGAAATTATGATTAATAATAGTAAAAAATAACAGTAACTGCAACATAAGGGGATTTTTATGCAGATGTCTTTGACTAAGTTGTTTCTACTTCCTTTATGCCCTGAAGTAAGTTCCAAAAAGTAAATCTGCTGAAAACAACACTTACTCACAAGTAAGTTATTCTAGAAAAACGAAGGGAAAAAAAAAATCACTGTTTAAAGCGAAGGCTGAACTACAAAATCTGGATAAAGTTAAAACATTACATTTAATGCTGTCTAAAATGAGAAGAGTACAAAAAATTCCAGAGGACTTATATTTTACTTCTGAAAGCTTATGCAGCATGAACGCAGCCCCATTACTTGACCAAACGCTCCTTACCTGAATGCAGTTTTTTAAGTTGTCCTTTGTTGGCTTTTCTTCTGCAAGTTTTGTGGCAAACTTGAGACCTCTTCCATACATTTTATTTACCAATGCATGCTTATAGGCAAATGTCAAAACCTACAATGCAAATTAAAAACACCAAAGTAAATTAGGTATTGTAGTATCTTACAAGGCTTCAAGTAATATCAAACTCTGTTCAGGTAGCAGGTAAAACACTTACATGAGATATTTTCAGTATAACATAATTCACAGTAGTAGTTATAAACATGAACTTCCTAGAGACTATTTCTGACTTCACAAACATATTTGACTTCAGAACTTATGTAACACAGATGTCACTATTTTAATTTTTTGTCACATTTCTAGCTTCTTTGGATTTTCATTCTTTACAGGCAACTATACAGCACATTAAAAAGGTAACTAAAGAATCACCAACCAAGCAGGTGTATTTTTGACCCAGAGAAGCAAAAAGCAAATTGAGAATTTTAATTCCTAGGTAGTCACAAACTTACTGCAGAAACAAGTATGAATGTACACAGTGAATGATATATACAGACAAAGACAGAGAAATGTACATAATTATAAACAAGCAATGAAGACAGGTAAGCATGAAGACAAGCCTCAGGTTTTAGGTCAGCTCCTCACTACTGGTAATTTTTTAAGAAGAGATTATAAAAAACCTCCTTCTTGATAATATCATTTCTAAAAAGCCACCTTACAGTCCTTACCAATGCAGTAGTTCATGTGAGAAAATGCATGTGTCTACCTAAGGCCTAACGTAAAACAGATCAGGTTCTTAATACCTAAACACTGACAGCGTTCAGGGTGTTGCCAGAGGGTTCAAACCATTTCACCAGCTGCAGCACTAAGAATTAGAGCAATCAAGACACTTTCATATATTCCCTTTGGAACACTCATAGTGAAACAAGGTATTTTTTATTTTTTACTGAAGAGCAACATAGTAGTAAAGTTGGTGAATATGGCAGTGTGTCTGTTGTTGGCAGTGTTTATGAAATCTTTTTTTAGAGCTTGCTATTCATTTTCCCTCGTTCTTTACATTTTTCCTTTGCTCTGACTCCACAATAAAAGTTGAAGATTTCCCACTTAAAATATCCCATTAAAAAAAGCTAATAAAAACCTTTCAAGGATGTTCAGAAATATGTTTTGCATTACAGGAAAAATAAATAAAAAATTTCTCAAGAATATAAACATTACGGAACCAGAGATCTCAATCTTGTAAGGAGTGAAGGACCTGTCTAGTTTTAGCAGCCTGAACACTTCCACTTAATGTTCATCACATGCACAAGATTTTGCAGGATCAAGGAATAGTTAAAATATAAAAAAGAAATAAACTTAATTATCAAGCAAGTCAAGGATTAATTTTGAAGCTTCAAGATACTATGCCAAAGTACTCAAGAGTTGCTCATTCTTCTTCTGTCTTCAAATACTTCTTTTACTGTGTTGAAATATTCACTTAAGCTGTTGTAGCTTACAACACACACATATATGCAACAATGAGCATACAGCACCATTCACATATACAATTTTCCAAATATTGCTATTGGAAAAATACTCTGCATGCTGCATTCTCAATCCAATTATTTTGGATATTTTCCTAAAGCAAAACAAATTAGCAAACATTTCTAAATAACTGTTCAGTGGATCCATTAGCAGACTTAGTTTGCTAAACTAAACGTAAAAAAAAAATTGTCTTCTGTAAAAGATGATAGAACCACAAAACAAAACAAAACAAAAAAAACCAAACAAAAAAAAGTCAAATGAAAAATGCATTGGAGCTCTCAGCAAATATAACATTTTGGAGGCTAACCAGAAATAATGTCACTGCTCTATGAAGAAAGCTCTTACCTGACCCTGTAAGTTTTGAATGGTTATTGAACATCAGTGATAAAGGCAGGAGGAAAGCCACTTGACAGCATTTCTTTCGTAACAGGGCTTCCTAGAGTTTTTGTGGCAAGAAAACAAAGCATTTTACGAAATACCCTTGCTCCAGCCAAATAAAAGGTTGGGTATTTCTAAATGAGAAAAAGGTTCTCTGCTGAACCAAAAGGTTGAAAGCAATGCTCCAAGAGCTCTTGACTTAAGACAATAATTTGTGTCTTAGTGTTCGTAAAAAAACCCCCAATCAACTGTATACAAGTTCAGCAAAACTACTAAAAATTCATTAGCACTTAAGAAGCTATGAACAATGCACGACTTGCTTTAAAATCAGAATTTGTTTACGAACAAAAGATGTTAGGTAAGAAATAGTACTTTACAGCTTGTACGCATATTGGCCAAATTAAGCCTTATAGATAAAATATTGCAAGCTTTATAAGATCACAGAAATAAAGGTTATGATTCTTCGATATGTGTAAGGAAATGTAAGGAGTACTACTAAGATATAACAGAGAAAACAGCTGCTATCTGAATATATAAAAGCACCAACTAAACCTATTTGTAGTATCCAAAACCAAATTGTTAGATGAAAGAATAGTAATGACTTCAAATTATTTGATATTATTTCATAACTATGTAATGAAGAAGTCCAGCTTTTGTGTAACAAGCAATACGGGTCAGAAATTGTAGCGAGAGCAACAGAAGTATATTGACAAAAGGCAATGCATGCTTCTAGGGTACTGGTGGGGGGGGGGAAAAAAATCATTGTTAGATACTTTATCCCCCAAACTAATGGTCTGGAATACTACAATGTGCTAGGAGCCAGACCCATGAAAGTGTTTGGATGTCCACCTCCTAACTAGCTGCCTAACTTGCCATTGGCTATAAAGATTTATATTTAGGACAGTAAAATGCTGGAATAATCTCTCTGAAGACATTTGTGTGGCTGAAGTATTTAAAAGCTAGAAAATACTCTTTAAAAAATCATGTTTAAATCCAGAAATACTAAAACACCTAATGAAACTTTTCTAGTGTCCTAATGTTGTTACCTATGGAAACAGACTTGTATAATCAATTAATAATTTAAAGAGCTGGTTAAAATATACCTACATTTACATATAGTTAAATTATTAGGTTAAACAATACAATTTCTAGTAACACGCTCCAGCTATTTGTGAGAATACTGAAGTTGTAATGTTGACAATTTCCAACAAATGAGTTTTTCAGGTTCATATACATCTATAGTAATAAACTAGGCTTTCTTAGCCAAGTTTGATTTTTCTCTGCTCTATTAACTGCCCTATAACAAATAAAAATTACATTAATAATAATATAAAAAAAAGAACCCATATTTTTGAGCAA